CTCCTGTTGGCCCTCCATCTTGGCAGCCCTCACGTATGCAATATAATGACCTCCTTGAAGGGTTCCTATGTGCTGAGTAACGCCAACTAGGCGGTAAATGTTGTTGTCTGTCGTATTTGATCTGTATATTACAAGAAATAGTGATGAACAGAACAATCAGTAGATGTTCAATCACAGAAGCAGCAGTCAAAATTTTAGTTGGCAAAAGGCAAAAGGCAATGGTAAAAATCGGTACCTTTGGTCCATGTACGGCTGCATATCAAGCATCTCCTTAAAATGCACATGCCCTTCCAACTTCTCAAATCCACCATTAGATATCGGTGCGTACCTATTCAAACTAACCACCAATATATCAGGATCCCTGGTTATGAGATTTCTCTTCTCTGCAACTCTATAAACTTTTTTGTCTTCATCCTTTTTCCTTTGTTCTTCAGATATGTTGTTCTTGGCTGCATTCGTGCACTCCTCACAATGCCATGCAGGTAGAAGATCTGGCTTGGTATACAACGCGAAGCAGTCTTCTATAGACACAGGAGTACTGTCTTGAAGCTGTGGAAGAGTCAGTTGCAAAAGACAGAAGCCTTGAGATTTAGGGGACTCGTGCGGGCACTCTCTGCTGGACACAGTACTGCACTCCTGGCCCCTAAACATTGAATCAACTAATGTTGTGACCTTTCCATTGTTGGAATCATCCATTGAAATTTGCCCTGAATCAGTTTCCTCATCGTGCAAACTACCAAGAAAACGGCCAAACAACTCAGCGTTGTCGTGCATGGTGCCACCACTGAATTTAGGAAAATCTTGGCAGGTAATTGCAAAAAGGATCTCTGGGTTAAGTGGGACTCCTGCATCATATGAAGTGCTAGTCTCCACAAAGAGCTGCTTCAAACACGCAACACAGGGCCCCATCCAAAGGTCTGATCCTAATATCTTGCACCGCAGTGAATCAATTCCAAGCAGATTCTGGAGCATCACATTGAAGAAGCAAGAATTTCCAATATTTGGCAGCCCTTTAATGACGTTCATGCTGGTGGCAGCTGATCCGGATATGGTAATATCCTGATTGTCTATAGGCTGAGAGAGCTGGTTTATTTCTGTCTTGTCTGAAGGAGGAGATGACACTTCACCGGTATCACTGGTTCCCTTGTCCTCCTCCCTGGCTATAGGCGGAGAGAGCTTCAGGTCCATCTCCGGGATTGCCATCTGATCTGATGGGGGTGATATTTGTGCAGGATCATCGGACCCCATGCCCTTCATTAGTTTTGTCGTCGTCGTGGTCTCTTCATCCCAGTCACTGCCTGAGTCCCATCCCCAGTCCCATGATGGGGGAGATGATACTTCACCAGGATCACTGGCTCCCTTGCCCTCCTCCCTGGCTATAGGCAGAGAGAGCTTCAGGTCCATCTCCAGGATGTCCATCTGATCTGATGGGGATGATATTTGTGCAGTATTGTTGGATCCCATGCCCTCCATTAGCTTTGTCGATTTTGTAGCTTTTGGTTCATATGAAGCTTCAGTCTTCTCTTTCTTTTGTGACAGTGAAACATCAGGGATCCTAACGACAACCTCCACTCTACATTTAAAACAATATATCAAGGTTGGATCATCGTAATGTGTAGCCCACCAGTGTTGATTCTCATAGCAGTGCAATTTAACATGGCCTTCTGGCTTGCTGCTATCTGCACCACCACAGAATTGCCTACTGCATTCCAAACAGACCCAGATATCGCTGTTCTTAACCTTTGTCTGATCCTTGGCAGCAGCGCCTCTTGTGTCCCCACCTTTCTTCTTCTTCTTTTTCTTCTCCTCCTCCTCCTCCTTATCACCTCGTCCCTTGCTTCCCGAGGCTTGCTGATTCGTTGAGGAATCTTCCTGGCAATGCTCACATGATGCAGCATTTTTGGAAGACAGCATCAGCAGGCGAGCCTTGTTCAAGCGAGATACATCCTCATTGCTGCAGTGCCAGCAATCCCATTCATCGCCATCCTTCACCTTGGTATCAGCAACTCCTATCTCCTTTCTCTGCAGCTGCTTTCTGCCTTTCCTCATCTTTGGCCGCGCCTTAGCATCAGCGCCTCCTTCCTGCTGCTGGTTTTCCTTCAATGGGAGGTACTCCGAGAAAGCAAGCCTTCGTAACGCCTCATCCATGGCGCATATTCCTTGAGGTTCGAGGCACGGTCAGCATCCGAGGACCCACCACCCTTAGCTCTCCCTTCTTTTCCATCACCTACCAACCTCTCCTATGCGGAGTATTGTAGAAGATGGAAACATAGAAACACCACGTCCGTTTTGTAAGGGATGCGATCACGATAGCTTTTTTTTCTACAGAACATGAAACAAAGTGGAAGATGCCTTGCGTTGGTTTTACTCTAGATGGGTCCCACGATCTGACACGCTGGCACGTGTATTATGTATGCACTTATTTTGGGACAAAATTTAAAAGCTAGGATTGCCATTTTTTGGGACGGAGGGGTATGAAATATTCTTGAACTAGATATTTTTGGCATGACGAACAAAATCTAGAAACTAGATATATAAGAATGAGAAAGAAAGTTTTAGAGTACAGATATTTTGTTAGAAGAGTGTGGATTGTGTCATGTGCCACATGGCACAATCCTAGAGGTCATGTAATATTATGTATAGGGGTGCCCTCCACCCACAAGGTGACTTGCCAATCAAAGCCACAAAAAGATAAGTAAACAAAACATTTAAATACTGGCATAGTTAGGCACCATATATAGTTGTGGACTAGTGGGGGTGTCCGAAGACATGATCTTAGAATGGTACTAACAAGAAAGCTAACTCAAGGCATGCAAAGTAGCAAACTACTCTTCGGGCCACCTTTTTATTTTATAAAAGAATTAATACAAATGAAACCTAGCTACCTAAAAGTTATCCTACTACACATGTTTTATTTAGGACAATAAATCCACCACTGTGCTACACACAATTCCTCCCATTTATCCCCTTTCCCCAATATCACATTATGTTGAATACAATAGAGTAAATAAAAACAATAGCTCATTTGTTAGATCCAATGCTAAGTTGATGAGTGTGAACTCTTATATGTAGATAAGACAGAGTATCTTTTAGTGAGGTGTCCATTGGCCATTTCTTTGGAAACCTAATAAGAATCGAAGACACAAATGAATCGAAGACACAATCTTTTTCTGAAAAAATGAAAATGCGGCATAAGGGAGTTGCTTTCTGCCTTTCCTCATCTTTGGCCGCGCCTTAGCATCAGCGCCTCCTTCCCGCTGTTGGTCTTCCTTCAATGGGACGTACTCCGAGAAAGCAAGCCTTCGTAACGCCTCATCCATGAGCGCATATTCCTTGAGGTTCGAGGCACGGTCAGCATCCGAGGACCCACCACCCTTAGCTCTCCCCTTCTTTTCCATCACCTACCAACGACATATTCCATGAGGTAGATTGATCTTGGATATGGCTCCGAGCAGCAACGAATCGACCGCAAATTGATGGATAGAAGAGGAAACAAGCATATCGGTGTGATTGATCTCAGTAACCGAAAAAGAAGAACTACGGCGGCTAGGGTTTTACTCACATCGGAAGGAGGAGAGGTGGATCTTGCCGATTCCGCACTGCTCGGGAAAGAGGAGGAGAGAACCCGTCGTCTCTCTTCCTCTACGTCACAGCCATAGCTTGGATTGCCCTTGCTCTGGATTATGGAGGTCCGGTGGCACGGCGCCGCAGCGTCTAAGCAACCACGAGAGATGAGATGAAAGGAGCAAGCAAGGGAGCTGGTTGGTCACCACCTCGCGGACCAGCAGATTGGTGTTTATCGATACATGGGTCCCATACTCGGTGGGAGGTGCAAGCAGGTGCTTGGCGACCGCTCGGCGAGGGGATGTGGCGCCGGACCGAGGGACTCGTGCATGCTAGACCTAGGCGTCTGGCCTAGCTCGACCGAGGAGTCGAGGACCAGCAGCATGACGGCAGAGCGACACTATGGTTGGGTTGGGGAGATTTGATTTTGGGATGGAGGGATGAGGCGTGTGGATTTAGCCGACGGAGAGACGGCGATCACTGTGTTTTGCGGCAAAGATAACAAATAACGGCGCATAATGGATGAAAAATTAGAATTAATGGTGCTGAAGGATGAATTAAATTAAATTTGGATGGCATATAAAGGATGAGTTAAATTTTCAATAGCATACAAGAAATTGTCTCTAGTATAACTATTCGACTAAGCTAAACTCGAAGCTAAGAACCTGCAAGGCAATGGTGTTTCCTGTGGTGTTTTATACATTGGTTTTGATGCTGGACACTGTCCTGCTATTATTTTTCCCTCATATATAGTAGGGAGAATTACGTTCTTGCCCTTATCCAGTACTTCAATTGTGATTTTGCCTCTCTTTTTTTAACTTTGTGATTTTATCCTCGTTTTTTTCAAACGAAGCTCCCGTCTACCCCTATTTTATAACACCGTCTAAAATGCTTGGATTAAATGGTAAAAAAAAAAGAAAAAAGAAAAAACACCTATATGAAAAGACAATGATACCCTCCGTCCCTTTCTCCTTTCTCACCTGTTCGCTCGACCCGTTCCTACGACAAGTGGTTGTTCGCTGTTCCTATTTCTTGGCAGCTCCGCCCGTTTGACCTTCGGAGGACCGACAGCGACGACGCCAGTAGATGCACTACTGACGGTCAGGGACGTAGCCAGCGGTGGGGCTAGGGGGGCTTCAGCCCCCCCTACCCATCCTGAGCACGTGGAGTTTTCCTAAGTCCTCCCTTAAAATTTTATGCATACATGTATTAGGTAGGAGGGGCTAAGGTTAAGAGAAGATAAAAAAATCTCTATTCTTTTGTTCAGCCCCTCCTAAATTTTTTTCTGGCTTCGTCACTGCTGACGGTACCGGCCACCTCGAGCTCCAGAGCCAAGGACGCCGCGAGGACAGAGGTCGCGCGGCTCACACACCCTCCCAGTCCGTCCTCCTCCAGTTCCGTTTTCTTTGGCCGCGGATCTCGTCGCCTTCGGTGCCATGGATGCAGTCGCCGGCACTGCGGGGTATCGGGGACCAGCGGAAGTGCGCGCCCGCGCGCCCGGCAAGATCATCCTCGCGGGCGAGCACGCCGTCGTCCACGGCTCCGCCGCCGTCGCCGCCGCCACCGATCTCTACACCAGGTCCTCCCTCCTCCTCCGGCCCACAGGTGCTCCCGCCCACCCTGGCTTCTTCGGTTCTTCGTTTTGTCGCGTCGCCGCCGCTGGTACCCTTCTCACAGCTCCTCTCTCCCGGTGCCACGCAGGAGAGGGTGGCGGCGCTGACTCCGGCGCGGTGGAGCTGTACCTCAGGGACTCGGGCCTCACCTTCTCGTGGCCGTGCTTACGCCTCCGCGGGGCGCTAGGCGAGGAGATCAGCGCCAACCCCGGGGTTCCGGCGCCGTGCTCCCCTGACCAACTGGCCACCATTGCCAGGCTCTTGGAGGACCAGGAGATCCCTGAGGCCAAGATCTGGCTCTCTGCCGGCCTGTCCGCTTTCCTTTTCCTCTACACCTCCATTCTGGGGTTGGTTGCTTCTCCCTTCCCGTTTGCAGTCTGTGCTCACATCACGTTTTTTTCACACATGTGGTTGTTCGCTGTGTTCTTGTGCAGATGCAGGCCTGGCAAGGCAGTGGTGACCTCGGACCTGCCCATGGGTGCAGGGCTCGGCTCGTCGTCGGCATTATGTGTGTCCATGTCAGGGGCTCTATTGACGGCTGCTGGCGCAGTCAGTGTTGGAGCACACAGGGGTGCTGAGGGGTGGGAGGTGTTGGGGAAGGGTGATCTTGAGCTGGTCAACCAATGGGCGTTCCAAGGGGAAAAGATCATTCATGGCAAGCCTTTTGGCATCGACAATTCCGTCAGCACTTTCGGTATGCTATGAAATTGATGAGTTCTTAAACCTTTATTTAAAACTGGTAGTATTGAAATGCCTTTGCATTCAGGGTTGACCTCTAGTGGAATTCGTATTGAGGTTGTTCGCAATAACTTAATGGTTGATTGCTTAATGGCACCGCCACTCTTGTCGCAGTCAGGATTGCTTCTAGTTCACTTATTTATTTTTTCAAACAACTCCCCTAGTTTACTTATGGTATGTTAGTTATATATGTTCTTGACTTGCACCTACTTATAGATGATGTATCTATGTATTGAAATGAGTAATTTAACCAAAGAAGTCTTGTACTCTTGTTAGTTTTAGGTCTAAGGCATGGAAACCTTTGCAAACGGGTGAACTTAAGTAATTTATTAATAATCATAAGATCATATGAATGTTAATTGCCTTCTTATCATTTCTCCTAAGTTTGTTTTGGTTCACTAAATCTTATGTTTGAAACTAGGGAAAATGATCAAATTCAAGAAGGGGGAACTGACAAACCTTGAGTCCAGGAACCCAGTCAAAATGCTTATTACTGACACAAGAGTTGGTAGGAACACAAAGGCCCTGGTTGCTGGTGTGTCTGAAAGAGCATCTAGGCATCCAGATGCTATGGCTTCTGTCTTCCATACAATGGCATCTTTTCCTTCATGGTTTTACAAAATAAACACCATACAACTTATGTGTGATTTCTGTTAATCTTTAACGTTTCAACTCAAAGCTTTTCAGAAATCTGGGTCTTGATATGCATTAATAAAGAATCTGACAGTATAGGAACTTCAGATTCAGAACTACAATGGCCTGTCTTGTACTCCCTCCGTTTGACATCGTAGTTCATTTTGGCTTTATCCTAAGTCAAATTTCTTTAACTTGGAATGGAGTGTTCATTACTTAATAATATTTAGAATGATTCTGGGTTCCATTCCATCTAATATAGACAAGTTTTTTTTTGTGAATAAATCTATCAATGTGGAAGGACAGGAACTGTAGCTATTCAAATTTCTAAATATCCTTTGATTTCATCATATCTGAGTTTCTGTTCTGTATCTACTTAGAGAATAGTCCTGTAAGTTTTTCATCTGTCTGACCCTTCAATGGTATCTGCTTAGAGAATAGTCCTGTAATTCCAAATCAGGGTAAAATCATAATTAGGCATAACAAACAGGGGCAAAATCGCATGGGCATTCATGTCCTTTTGTACAAAGTTTAACACCGTTAGGGGTGGATGACGGAGCAGGGGCAAACTGGTGCTTCGTGAACGACACAGTAGGGGTAAATTCACAAAGTCAAAAAAATAGGGGCAAAATCATAATTTCGATACAAAACAAAGGTACAAACGCAAGAAGCCCTATATAGTATCATGTCATCATAAATTCTATACGGCACCTTTTTTCTATTACCATAAGCACTACCTGGGTGAAGTATTGGGACCGCTCTCAAATACATGTCACTCCGGCAATACCATTAGAGCAGTCTCAATGGAAGTTTTACCAAGAGTTTCATGACTATTAAATAACATACCACATCAGCAATTTTACTGACGTGAAAAGGTAACTATGAGGAGAGAGGAGAGGGGGTTTCATCACCATGAAACCCGGCATGGACAATTACCAAGTTCTCAGCCTTGGTAACTGTGTCATGAAACTGTGCACTGAGACCGTCCTTGTAGTGTAATAAGTTGTCTTTGTACTACTAAGGCCAGTCTCAGTGCACAATTTCGTGGCACAATTACGAAGGTTGAGAACTTGGTAACTGTGCCTGCTGGGTTTCATAACGATGAAACTTCTCTCACATATAATGAAACTACCTCTCTTGTGCCACGTTGGCAAAGTTATTGATGTGGCATGTTATTTATGGTCATGAAACTTTTGATAAAAATGCATTAAGGCTAGCCTAAGGTCTGAACGATGTACTAACCACTAACCACGTGCTCCTTCCGTCCAAAAAATAAATGTTCTTTTACTATTCAAATTTTGTTCACAAAGAGTGCACCTTTTACACATGTAATTAAAATAACACTCACACCAATAAAAGACAACATATGGAGAAGCGTGTAGAACCAATTAAATGACTAAATGATGTTATTTTTCTAGCTTCAATGCATGCACATTTGTTCAGCATTTAGAAAACCAAACAAATAATGCGGCTTTCAATAACAACTAATGTAAGTAATTAGAGGCAATATGATCATTTATCATAACTACTATTGTGTCTTAAATTGTTTAAAAGGAAATTTATTTTGGAACGGAGGGAGTAATTGTTATTGGTTTATTTTAGCGACTCATGATCAGCAGCGATTCGCCTTTAGCGCTTGTTAAGTGTTAACCTGATGTCTATTTATGCAAATAAGCCACACGAATATTACACATCCTGGTACAGTACATGTGCAAATGCAGGCACAAGTTGTTGGTTCAACGCGATTGGGTCGATCAATCCCAAGCTGCAAGGTGTCGGCGAGAGAGGCAAAGCGTATTCGTGCATGTAGACCAGTGGCATTGCAATTTTGCAAGACCCGGCCCGGCCATATACGATTATACGAACACGCAGAGCGCGCAAGCCTCTCGTAACTTTCCTCCCACTGGATCACACAGGATCAGCTCAGCCAGACGGAACAGATACATGCATGTTCCGGTCGATAAACCCCTGCTACGGGATCCATACATCGGACCAAAAGATCAGTATGAATAATGTGCAGAGAGTACTCAACGGCTGGGACGCACGCTCTATCAGTGAGTGCAGCATATGAAAAAGGATACAGGTCGTGTCACGCGGATGTCAGGATATGCCTGGGAGGCTGAGTCGCACGTCGCGGACGGGACTCGCTGTCACAGTGTCGCGTCTAGTGCTAGGTTATCTGCAGGGTGGAAAAGGCTATGCGTGTAGCTTCCCCCGGACCATGCTCATGCAAATGAAATGGAGTAGTTGCTGCAATTGAGGGAACACGGTCTTCCACGACCGTTTCGCTCTCCCTCGTAGAATCAAAGCTCATCCTTGACGTCCGTTACCGTTCGGCAGAGAAAATGCTCGCCGAGATGATCACGGTCCGCAAGTTCAACTAGTACGGATTTTCTACAATTTTCTAACTATTTTCTAAGTTTTTCATTTCATGGAAAAATTAATTCTAAGATCACGTAAGCCGCTGGGGACGAGGATGGCGCGTGCTCCAGCGAGGACGAGCGAGACATGATTTTGATGAACTAATTTAACTTTTGTTTATCCAAACATATATGCAAATCATCATGTGATTTTGAGCTAAAAATGACATAGAAATCACATAGCTCAAAAACATGTTTCAATAAATAACCATCCGTACTAGTTGACCTTGCTTACGTGATCATCTCGGCGAGCATTTCTCCACCGGACGGCACCGTACTTCCCAAGGAAGAGCTCCGATTCTACGAGGAAGGGAACACGGTCTTCCACGACCGTTGCCGCTCTCCCTCGTAGAATCAAAGCTCCTCCTTGACGTCCGTTACCGCTCGGCAGAGAAAATGCTCGCCGAGATGATCACGGTCCGCAAGTTCAACTAGTACGGATTTTCTACAATTTTCTAACTATTTTCTAAGTTTTTCATTTCATGGAAAAAATTAATTCTAAGATCACGTAAGCCCGCCCGGGAGCGAGGATGGCGCGTGCTCAAATGAAAGGACGAAAGCGAGGCGTGATTTTGATGAACTAATTTAACTTTTGTTTATCCAAACATATATGCAAATCATCATGTGATTTTGAGCTAAAATGACATATAAAATCATAATAAAGTCCAACATATAAAGTTACACATGCATCTACATCATAAAATGAGATAAGCTACTTGATAAAACATAAGAGGATTAAGTTTGTTACCTCCAAAATCGAAGAGCAACACCAATGGAGGGGAGAGAGCAAGAACAACAACAAGTGAAGAACAGAGGCAGTGAGTTTGAATGGAATGGCTCGGGCTCGGAGAGGAAGAAATGAGCCGTTGTATAGGCCCCCATAATTAGTCCTGGTTAGGTGGCCAAACCGGGACTAAAGATTAATATTTATTCCCGGGGTATCACCCAAACCGGGACTAAAACCTTTAGTCCCGGCTGGTATTACCAACCGGGACTAAAGGTTTACCTTTAGTCCCGGTTAGTGTCTGACCGAGACTAAAGATCCCTGCCACTCGGACGACCGTTGGGCAGGGACCTTTAGTCCCGGTTGGTATTACGAACCGGGACTAAAGGGTCATTTAGTCCCGATGGCAAAAAATGCCGAGGCTAATACCAAATTAGAACATCGTTCTAAAGTCTGTTCTCTAGTAGTGAATTGAGAGCCATGTTACCTGTTCGATTCTCCGGATTCTGAATCAATATGCTTCCTCCCTCTATTCTAAAACAAGTGTGTTTTTAGTATTTAAAATTTATTTTTTAAATACATTTTTAGTTTTGGATCCGTTAGAGTTAATTGCAAGCACATTTAATTACTTATTTCTTCAATTTTTTCAAGGTACATGTCCCTTGGTGCCTTACTTTTTTTTTTCTTCTTTTCAAGGTGCATGGACCTTGAATTGTTTGGTTTTATTTTCCTTTTTCAAGAAACAGTTCATTAAGGTTTATGTGAACATTAACAAAATTAATAATATAGATTATTTCTTATGACTACTATTGTGTTTTAAAAATTCTATAAGTCTTTGTTGCTGAGGCGCCATTGGCTACCATGCTGAGTTGCTGACACGCTCAGGCGATATAAGCGATGAAATCTTTTGCTTGATTTGAGTTTTTTTTGGCAGACCGAGCGAGATAGAGTTCGATCCGTGGTGGTAAGCTAGGGCTGTGTTCGGCTGGCTGGCTGGCTGATTGTCGGCTGGCCAGCCACCTCATAAAATCATTATTCATGTCCTACTAGAATAGTATTTTTCTTTCACAACAATTAGCCGAAACAGTATTTTCAGTCCTGCCGAATAGGTCCTAGGATGGCAGATGCCTGGGGAACTGCACTTTATTGATTGCTGGTACAGGACGTTAGCTATGTAGGAGTAGGAGTGTACTGCGTTAGCAGTCCACTCTCCACTCCACCACCCTTGTACTACGTGACAGGCCTGTACCAGCAACTTGCAACAGGGAGCGCGTGAATTCCGATGCAGGTTGAACTATCCATACCCGTCGAAAACTAGCCGGGATGGATCGAGGACGATCGAGATGTTTGTGATGGCTACAAAAACATGGAACGCGGGAATGGGTCTGGCATCCTCCATCAAAGAGCTGAGCTGGGCATGAGGACGACGACTCTCAGAACCAACATTGGAGCAGAGAGGTCCCTCGACCTCCACTGGGTCGTGCATCCCGTAGGAATGGTGAATTGGGCTCGCATCTAACATGTTGCCGAGCTTGCATGGGGCCTCCATCGTGAATTTCCCCGCTACTGTTGGTGAACATTTGTGGGGCGACCCGCAAGTAAGATTCGTATTCAGGGTGTATTCATGCATGCTCAGAAACTTCAATCGAATCAGGTGTCTAACAGATTTGAGCAATCCCTTCAATGGAATATATTACTAACAAATAGCAGGGACTCAATTAAAAATATTCCTTGGACATAGACTCATTGGTCAAGGAAGATTCGTCTCACTGCCTTCGGTCATCAGGATACAACACTAGATCACAGATTAGCATGCACAAGGAAACTTAGTGCAACATCCATTCAGAATATAGACAATGCTTCCATGTCGCATTAACTGA